ATTAAAGTTTATTTCATTATTCTTATTTTTAAGAACCACAACTATTTCACAACTTATTCAGTCTTTTTATTCTCATTTTTAAGAACCACAACTTGGTATTCAGTCTTTTTATTCTCATTTTTAAGAACCACAACTTGGTATTCAGTCTTTTTATTCTCATTTTTAAGAACCACAACTTGGTATTCAGTCTTTTTATTCTCATTTTTAAGAACCACAACTTGGTATTCAGTCTTTTTATTCTCATTTTTAAGAATCTCAACTTGGTATTCAGTCTTTTTATTCTCATTTTTAAGAATCTCAACTTGGTATTCAGTCTTTTTATTCTCATTTTTAAGAACCACAACTTGGTATTCAGTCTTTTTATTCTCATTTTTAAGAATCTCAACTTGGTATTCAGTCTTTTTATTCTCATTTTTAAGAATCTCAACTTGGTATTCAGTCTTTTTATTCTCATTTTTAAGAACCACAACTTGGTATTCAGTCTTTTTATTTTCTTTCTATTAGGTGGAAATGTCTTATAACCTTATAGCTGATCTCCATATCCCTGTCTGACTTTCAATTTTAATATAATTTTTTACAAATTCTAGCTGATTTGTTTGTTTGACTCAGTTATCACGAGACTAGATGTTAACTTGATCCTGTTGTCTATTTCTAGATTTTTTCATTCTTAGTGATTCATATTTGTCTTTTGAATCTAAATCTAAACCACTCTCTTCTGATGCAGTTGAATTGCTGCTAACCGGAAAATTATTTATTTTACCTGAAAAAGTTGTATTTTGTTACTTGATGAAGATGTATTTTGTTACTTGAAGAAGTGTCTTTTGCATTAAAAACTCTGACTTTTGAGGATGTAATGACACTTGTGTGTTAAAACAGCAACCAACTTCTCCTAAAATTAATAGTTTTTTGTTATTTTTAAAATTTTTATAAATAAATTATTTAAATTAAAATTTTTTATCTTCCCGACTGAGCCTCATACCCTTAATGTTGGTGATATCGAAAGTATCCCCAAAAACAGATAAAATATTTTTTCATTTCGCCAGGTTTTTTTAAGATACTTGTCAACGTTTTCTATTACTTTTTCAATTTTTTTTTCAACTATTTTTTTAGAAATACTTGGAAAGCTAAGTTAGTTCCATAATTTACTTGTTTCGATAGCAACTAACTTTTTCTTTTCTGCTTGTTTAATTCCAGGTAGTTGAAACGTCCAATAACAAAATTTTTTTAACAAACTTTTTTAGTGTCTCTATCGACCAAATAAACAATCTAGTGCCACTGGATTTTTTGCATAAAAAATCATTAATCCGTTAGTTGTTTCAATGACATTTCTTGTTGTCTTTTTAATTTATTAAAATCTTAATAACATAAAATACAGATATGTACTAATTTTTAATTTATGTTATATTTCAGTCTGATTGGCTCAGACCGTCGTCAGTCGTAGGGAAGACCGGGGCTAGTTGGCAGTTAGGTAAATTGACGAACTGCGTTTATCTTCAAATTCTTTGATCGGAAAATACCAAAAATTACATAAAACCATCCTAATTAACCATTTTATCTTTTACTGAAGTATTGCTAGGATTTGCGCATGCGCATGGGAGATATTGGGGTTGGTATTTTTTGGACAAAAACGTAACTTTTCGAACATCACTTTCTTTTTATTTTACAAAGAAAATATTATTTTTTCAATAAACAATATATATAAAATATATTGTTTATTGAAAAAAAGGCTTTTGGAGTAAGTTGGCAAAGTTTTCACGGGGGAAGCTGGCTCATAGCATTTTCTATGGGAAAAAATGTATATTTTTTAATAAAATTAATTTTGTTTTTAATTTTTAACAATATTGAAAAAATTTATTTTTTACAAAAATTAAAAAAAAGTTTTATATATTTTTTTTGTTGTTAGTTAAAAGGTGGGCTACTGTTTTTGCTGGTATTTGGTACCAGTTAAAAGTAATATTAAATTTTTGGCCTAAAATTGTTGCCAAAACAAATAGTAAAAAGTTTTTTATAAATACTCATTTAATAGTACATTAATGTTTATTTTTATAATTTGTGCCAACTTACCCCGGGGTGGGGTAAGGTGGTGAACTTTTTTTGAGGCACCAGAAGGGCCCTAAGAAATTTTTTTTTACAATAAATGTAAATTAAAAATTTAAATTCATACTCTTTAAGACTGCGCTTTAATATTTACAAGAATTTTACCGTTAGAGCTACAGAGCTAAAGTAATTTACAAAGTAAAAACAGAGGCAACTAGGCCCAGTCCCCCTCAAATAAAATACTATTAATCTGTTAGTGATCAAATATCTTATAAATATTTTAAAAGTTATTAGTTTAACTAGCAAATAATAATTATGAACTATTGTGCAAGGGTTTAAAAGTCACGTCAGTTGACGTGTCACATGTTTGGACCGACTACTATCTGCGTTCGACCATAATGACAGAATAAATGATACACCAACCTTAATAGAACCGACTTTATTCAGAATAGATTATCTAAAATTTTAGTTACAATCGTTTAATGAAATATCCAATGAGAACCGACTAGTAAAAAATCGATTTACAACCGACTGTTAAAAAATTAATTAATTATGACAACAACAGTCATATTTAAAGAAGATATTTGATTTTCAAATATCTTATTTACATATGATTTTGAAAGTCATGGTATCCCTGACTTGAATTGTTTAAAAATGGCTCATTGACCCGTGGACAATAATAAGTTAATAAGTTGCAAAAAATACTGATTAAGTTTTTAATTTAGGTGTATATATGATTGGTTGGCTTTAAATCAAGTCTTTTAAAATGGTCGGTTGTGCAAGAGTCGGCCCTATCCTTTGTCTTAATTAACAGTCGATGCTGCTGAAGTCGGTTCTAAATTATTCACACGAAGTAGTTGGTTGAAACAGGATTTCTAGTGAATCGGTTCTATATTAAAATTGAAAAGTCAGCTCAGCATCAGCCACCTCAGTCGATGTTAATAATTAATTAAAGTTTTTGCTAGTGTTGATATTTAAGTTAGTTTTTTAGGAAGTGTTTTAATATATGTTCAGTTATTTGTTGTGTTATTATTTACTTTTTGTATTATTATTATATATGTTTATAGTTGTGTTATTAATTAAAATTTAAATTTTTTATGTACTTTAACCTTAAGTCAAGTGGCTTAGGTTGATATTTATTTTGAATTAAAATAATTTAGTAATCATTCTCTTTCATATAGATTATATCAATGGTTTCATTATTATTTATACTTCTGTCCGTACTTTCCTTATGTTTTCAAACAATGTTGGAAATTGCTCATCCTAATCAATTGTATTCCGATCTTCTACTATCTCTCGATATTGCCTCTTTTGTGTGGTTAGTGATGGAACTTTTTTTGCGATTCATATCTGCTCCTAGTAAAACTTCTTTTTTATTGAATTTTTTGAATTTAATTGACTTAATTGTTATTATACCTTACCTCGGACATTTTTGTACTCTCGGTCGTAACGGCTATATAAAACAAAGAACTTTAGGAGTTTGGAACAGAAGCTGGTTTCACGTTATGGCAATAGCTCGATTGTTTCGTTTATTTCGTTTCTTTCGATTGTCTACAGGTCTGCAGATTTTAAAACATACTTTGATAGCAAGTTCAAAAGAGCTTCTTTTATTACTTTTGTTGCTTGCTATTCCAGTGGCTATATTTGCAACCATCGTTTTTTACTGTGAAAACTCGGTAAGTAGAAATAAAGAAAATAGTAGTAGATAAAAAAAGTTCCAAAAAAGATAAAATAAACATTAACTTAATTAAATTTATTGAATTATTATAATTTATGTAATAGTTTATTCATATAACTTTTATATTTTTATATATTTAAAGTCATCAAACTCCACCAAGTTTAAAACTATACCAGAATCTTTTTGGTGGGCAGTAGTAACTATGACTACTGTAGGCTATGGAGACATAGTTCCAACAACTACTATTGGAAAGTTTTTTGGTGTCTTGTGTGCGCTTTGCGGTGTATTAATAATTGCTTTACCTGTGTCTATAATAGGTAAGAATAACAAAGACTCAATTTTAATAAAGTGTAATAAAGTGTAATAAAGTTTAATAATCATTCTTTAATAAAATTCCCTATATAAAACTATTCAAATTTTAAAACTTGCTTTTATATCTTTTCAATTTTACAAATCTAATTATTTATACCAAAAAAGAATGAGGTGTTTTGTGTTTTTTGATGAATTTAAAATACTTTATTTGAGTTTTTATACTTAAAAGCTTCAAAATTTTTTGACTAAAAACCAATTGAAAATAATTTTTAGGAAACAACTTCAAGCTATTTTATCACTACGCCCAAGCACGTCTCAAGCAACCTTTTCAGCAAAAAAGCGCCTTAGTCGGCGCAGCAAACGCTTTGGTTTCAGAATCTATTAACCAACCCCACGGCATAAACGAAGACCAAGAATCTTCTCATTCAAACTCTACCAATGTTTATAAAGATATTACACAAAGCAAAAGGTTAACTATATTTTTTCTTCGTTATATTTTTTTCTTTATAGGCATCACTCATGTAAAATATATTTTGCATTTATAAGAAAACTTACATGAAAAAAATAGAGGAAATTATTTCGTTGTATAAACAAAATATGCAGTTGAAAAAAAAACATCAAATTATTTGATTGAAATCTCATAATTTAAATAATTTTTTCTTTAAAAAAAAAAAAAGTCCTTTAGAAAAAAAGTGGGAGGGGAAGGGTGCACGTGCTTCTCGTCCCCCGTCTCACTGGTGCACAAGCCGTTGTTGACCCAATAAGCCAACTATATGTTAATGCAACGCCAACTTCCAGCAAGCAACAATGTTTTGATTTTTCCAACAGAAAAAAAAAGCACTTACTAATTTAAACTAGGGAGCGGCAATGTATCGTTTAACGATAAGTCGATTAATCGTGTTCGATACATTAAACAACTCATTGTATTCAATACATCGAACGCTATGAGTTGTTTGATGCATCAAAAACAATGCATTGAACACGGCCAATTTAATGGTGTTTAATGGTACATCGTCGCTCCTGAATTTAAGCGTTATGAAATAAAATTGGGAACAAAACAATTAATTTTATACGACCATACCCAATTTGTGTATTATTTTAAAACTTATTATTTTAATATTTATTATTTTGTCTCATTTTGTTTATTATCGTTTACAAATAAATAGAGTTTTACTGAATGTTATTAATTACTAGTCCCGATAAGATAAGCCTATATGTGCTTTCTTCACAGAAAGCACATATAGGCTTATCTTCTCTATAAGATCTATTAAAATCATCAGTCCTCTTTCTTAAGTTATCAGAGCACGTCATAAATCACCTGTAAATCACCTTTAAAAAACAAACTACATAATATTAGAAAATTTTTACTTTTAATATTCTGCAGAATCTGGAATGATCCGTCGTTGTTTTGTTTTAGTTACAGAACGAATTGATTATTATGATATGGCCTCCCACATGTCATGAAATTCCTTACATTCTTGATTTTTCAAAAATCTGTCCTGAAATGTCCTAACTTATCGTAATTTGTCCTAAGTATCTTAAAATTTTATTTCAGATTTCATAATATGCCTAGGCTAGACAAATTTATTACAAATGCAAGGAGGTTAGCGACTCTGGCCTGCTTCACTAAACTATAATAAGGTAGTTTTTATCAAACGCAGGGGCGGATCCAGCATTTTTTGGTGTTTGAGATAGCTAACTTCCAGACATGGAGCAAACTCCAAACATTTATATGTTTATACTTATATCAAATAAGGATGGTTTGCAAAAATTTGCGATGATTGGAGCCTGGCAACAAAAAAGCCCCAAAATTTGAGACGTACCTGCCCCAAACGTGAGAGCAACAAGTTGATAAAATATTTTTTGTACTATTCTCAACAAGACTTATATTTATTAATAAATTTTAAATTCCATTGTAAAATATGTTAGCGCTCAAAAATTATGACCATATAAAAATTGTAACCCCCTCGAATTGAGGGGGATTCAAACTTTACATGGTCATAATTTTTGAACACTGAAATATTTTACAATTAAATTTAAAATTTATGGATAAATGTAAGTCTTGTTGAGAATAGTACAAAAAATATTTTATCAACTTGTTGCTCTCACGTTTGGGGCAGGTACGTCTCAAATTTTGGGGCTTTTTTGTTCCCAGGCTCCAATCATCGCAATTTTTTGCAAACCATCCTTATTTGATATAAGTATAAACATATAAATGTTTGGAGTTTGCTCCATGTCTGGAAGTTAGCTTTCTCAAACACCAAAAAATGCTGGATCCGCCCCTGAAACGTACTATGTGTAAGCATAGGGTAATTTAAGTGATCACGTATTGCAATATCTGGAAATATTTCTGGTCTTACAACGTTTTATTAAAATTTCCGTAGTTAGAATTTATCCGTAATGAACCATTTCTACGGTACAGTGTTCAATAATTTATTGTTGCTTTTAAAATAACAATATTAAAAGAACGGCATTCAACAGAAAAGAACCAACAATAAAAATCTCTGAGATAACGACATATAAAAAAATTTACTACTAGAAGGTAAATTTTAAAATTAACATTTTAAAACTGTATTATAACACATAAGCAGTGGATATTGCTTCCTCTATGATAAACATGAAAAAATTGTTTTTAATTCGATGGTGGAAAAATTTATGATACATGCCAAACTGTCGGTTAGTTCTTTTTTTCTTGAATGTCATACAAATGACTGATTATTATTTTCCCACCCAAAGTTTTTAAGCAGATGGGCTCAAAGAAAACGTGATAAACAAAATACTCTCACAATCTTTAGATTAGGTTAATGTTTATTAGAACCAGGGTTGTTATCTGTCAAATATGTCTGAAACATATTTTCTGCCAACGTAAAATATGTCTCGCATATTTTCTATCGACGTATTTTGACGTAACTTTATCTCTGAATTATTTTCTGCTGGCATATAATATGTCTGACAAGTTTTCTATTGGCATATTTTGACATAATTTTATGTCTGAATTTTTTTATGCTGACACAAAATTATGTCAAAATACGTCTGACATATTTTAACATAATTTTATTTCGGATATGTTTACTGTTTTATATTTTAACATAATTTTATTTCGGACATATTTAATGTTTTATATTCTAATAAAAATCGAACTAACAATTTAATAACGCATTTCAGAATTTGATGAATAAAATAAAAATATGTTAACAAATTAGTTTGAGTTGTTCTGAACAGCAAATAATTCTGCGATAACATTAAAAATCAAATAATAACATTAACAATAAAAATATTAAAATCAATTAAAACTTTAAGAATCAAATTAACTTGACTTGTCCTTAAACAGCAAATAATTCAGACATAAAATTATGTCAAAATATGTTGATAGAAAATATGTCAGACTTATTCTATGTCAGTAGAATATAATTCAGACATAAAATTTAAGTCAAAATAAGCCGATAGAAAATACGTGGGACTTATTTTATGCCAGCAGAAAATAGGTCAGAAAATATGTCGACAGATCTGCCAGACATATTATGTTGTAACAACCCTGATTAGAACAATAAACACATGTTCAAGAGGATATGTAGATATAATGATGGTCCGCTGTTAGGTCCGTACCATGATGGTCCATACTATGATGGCAACAAACAACGAGTCCGAATAACAAATTAAAAATATCACAAAAATATGGAAATTACAAAATTAAATAAAAACAAACAAGTTAAACATACTTCATTCATTTAAACAAAAAACATTATTTTTTGAAATTAAAATCGTAAATTTTTTTTAAAGACAAAAATATTTTTTGCGTTTATAATTTCCAAAGTCAAATTATTCCAAATATTATCAACTCGGGAAGAAAAAACTGCATTTTTAAGAATCTGAGAAATAATATTGTTCGCGTATTTTATAAAATTTTATAAATATGACAATCCGTGTAGTTATTGTTGTCAATCATAAAAAACATTGAACTTTTAGTACAAACTAGATTGCGAAAAACATTTAAACAACTTTATGTGAGTCTCAAGTCGAGCAGTTGTAGTTGGCCACAATAAATCAAATTTTTAAAGTTCTTAATTTTCTTCGTGAATTGTTTTTGAATACTTTTAACAGTTTAATTAATCCAATTGGGCACCCTGGAGAAAAAGTATTCTATAAATGGTTTATAGTCAGTGAAAGCTCTAGGTCGTTTTTGGTTTGGATGACTAAAGTTTAATTACTTAGACTATAGTTACCCTTTATTCTTTTGCAAGTAGATGCTACCCTATGTAAAAAACACTTACTGCTAGCAACTGTGAATTGCCACGTTTCTGCCCAGAGTACAAACTTATTTAGAGAAACAAATCTTGACAATAATCTCATACGAATTGCAAAACTTAATTAAATTTGCATAAAAGAGTTTTAATTTAAAGATAGTTGTTACAGTTGTTTATTTGTTAACATATAGTAAACATGTTGGTCCCAACACGCTATCTTATGGAACTCAAATAATAATGTAAATGGGGTTTAATAAAGAATATTTTTTGTTTGAAACTTGAACTTAAATATATTGCCGTAAACTAATTTTCTAAGTTTAGAAAATTAGAACTCTAATTTTAAACGCGTAGTTTTTTTTGAAATGTGTTTTGTCTAAACAATATTTATACCAAATGTCTAAACAATATTTTGAATTTAAATATTTTCGAGGGAATTTGTAATTTTTGTTTAGATTTTATTTTTATTTTTTCTTTTATTTTTTACTTTATTTTTTTTTACTTTACTTTACTATTTTTTTTTACTTTACTTTTTTTTACTTTCTTTATTTTTTACTTTTTCTTTTCTATTTATTTAAACCTGTTATTAAATTTTCTTAAAGGAAGGTTACTGTAAAGTTGAAAAAGCGCCATTTTAAGTTTTTTGAAAATTCTTGAGCCTCTTGTTTCACTAATTTTTTCCAATACTTTATGCTTTTTATCATCCATAGATACCATAGTAGTTATTTCTATTTCTAAATTTGAATAATACTTAAACATATATCAAAATAAGTAAATTAAGTTGGAAAGATGGGTTTTAGGAAATATTTTTTTATACTTCCTGGGATTGTCAGGGAAAGTAAATTGGATGTAAAATTTTTGTAGTATATCTATAGTTATAGCATAAAAAAGTTTTTTGTAAAAGATGTTAAAGTTTATGATATTTAACAATAATATTATATAATCTGATATAAAACATTTTAGATTTCAAAGAGAGCGTTCTTCTTTATACGTCACTACTCACACGCAAAAAATATCACCGCGTCGCACACTTAGCGAGTCTTTTACAATAAACAAACAAGACAATGCATTTCTCACAATGAGCAAATCAGGAAAAAGCATTCAAAATAATGTTGAGAAAGCCCATATTAACGGTGGATTTTCCTCAGCCGAAAGCATTGGAAAAATAGATTATTTATCTGAGCATAACAGTTTAAGTGTGAGACCTAACTCTGAAAAAATATATATGGATAGCAAGAGATCATCCATAACCAGTTCCGGTTTCTGTGCAATTCCAATGTCAGTATTATCGCCTTGTGAACTTGTTGAAAATATTAATGACGAATCATCCGATCTTCAAGACGGATTATCAAAACCGCAGAAGCCTATGCTCGAACGTAACGGATCGAACTTAAAAACTGAACTCAATTTTCAAATTCAAAACTTAAATGATTATCCTTCAAACGGTTGTTCAAAAATAGATTTTGTGCAAAATAAAATGTTTTTATATAAAGACAATAGAAAACGAAGCAATAACCATTTACATGTTCCTGAACCAGAAGGGCTGCACGAGCTTCTCAGCTAACAGCATAAACTAACTTATAAATATTACTAATTTATCTTTATATAACTAATTTTTGTACTTGATAATGCAGTTGGTTAATTTACCATCATAGTTATCATCAAAATTATTTTCATAACGAACATTTTGTTCAATTTCTTAAAAATAGTTCTTAAAAAAAATGTTTTCTGAGTATTGTAGTCAAAGCCATCCCCTTAATTGAAATATTCCCTCAAAGTTGTTCTTTCTATATATATATATATATATATATATATATATATATATATATATATATATATATATATATATATATATATATACATATATATATATATATATATATATATATATATATATATATATATATATACATATATATATATATATATATATATATATATATATATATATATATATATATATATATATATATATATATATATATTTTAATTAAAATACTTTTATAAAATTTTATAGTTTTTTTTTTTTTAATTTTGATTCTTTATATCCTCTTTTCGCTTTTATAACAGCAGCACGTGTACTGTGCATTCATATAATCAATTTATGCAATGATTTAGTTGATATTTAATTCCAGCATGTTTGCATGAGTACTCAAAGGTGTTTTTGATTGGTTGGTTGCATTTTTCTAACATTCGCCCTACAACTACTCGATCGGGTATAATCAGACAACTGATGAGACCTAGAGTATTTTAGTTCTTTTTTTTTTTTTTTTTTTTTGACTGCTATATATTTTCAGCAGAGTCTAGTAGTGTGTTTTGGATCGTTATCCTGTGAAAAACAAATCCGCGATCCACAATTCTTTTTCTGCACAGAAATGCATGTTTTTAAAGAATTTTGTGGCTTTTTTTTTTTCAGCGTTGCTCTAGGCCTTCCCAAACAATCATTACAGTCACTTTCATGCTTTCTTTGCACGCTCATCAGACTGCATTTTGAGAAACATTTGAAGCAATTTTCCATGCTGAATAACCTTGACTGTGTAATGCTAAAATAACTATATATAAATACACAAACACATACACACACATATATAACGATATATAAATACATTTATATAAATAAGCTCGTTTTTCTACACTCAGCTTTGCTTTTTAACCATTTTTTTTTAAATCAAAACATGATATATATGCTTTTCCTCAAATTTCAATACAAGCACAAAATTCTTTAAATTATTTCAACGTGCATAACATTTGTTCTATAAATCTCACAATATTTAAAACAAAAAATATTTCAATTACCTTTCTGAATAAAAATTATATAAAACACGGCAGTGAAAAAAAAATAATGCCTAAAAACTAAAAAATCTATTTACTAGGTTTTTTTGAAACTTTTTCAACTGATATTTGTAGAGTATTATTAAATAGTTTTATAAATTTTATAAAACTATTTAATTTTATAAGTTATAACTTTTAAAATAAAAATTTAAGTTGCTATGTTTTTTCTTTTGGAATCTTCACGTAATGATTGTTATCACATGCTCAAATGAGGGGCAACTTCGTCGTTGAAGAAAAGATAATGCTTAAGATAACTTAGGTTCTTTAATCACGCAAACTTTTAAACGAGAGCGCAGTTTGAAAGAAAATAAAGTTGTGCTAAAAAATGTACTTCAAAGCTTCAGATTCTATCTATAAGAGGCTTTTCAGATTATATTAGTTTACAATTAGTTTTTAAAAAATTTTAAAGTTTCAATTATGAAATGCGATTCTGATGTAAACACATGTAAAGAGACATGTAAATAAAGCATTTTAAAGCAATAAAATTAGCAATAGAGATGGATATTGAAGTAATACGCATTCCACCTTATAGTACACATCGCCTTCAACCACTTGACACATATGTTAATAAATTAGTTAAACATATGTGGTCTTAGGCCTTGTTTAATTGCTTAGCTGAAAATGATAGTATTTCTATGCCTCGTTGAAACTTTCACATTATTTTTAACAAAATATTGCAACTTTCACGTTATTGTTAACAAAATATGGCCAAACATACTTACAAAAAGAAGATTAATTGTTAATGCGTTTACTATTGCGGTTTGCATTCCCTAAGAAATACAGTGAAAGACTTCGAATACAAAAAATTCATCTGCGAGACCCAAATTTATCTGTTTTAAGGACTATAGTATCTTCACTCAAAACGCAATATTGCTCATACTACATTACCTCCTGAGCTTCCTCCTAAAAAGGCTCTAATAAAAATGTGGTCAGAGTTAAAGAAAAGTCAAAATAAAAAAAGATAAATTAGTCAAAACAAAAATAAAGAAAACTTGTTTTTCAGCTAATTCTGATCACCCAAGTTGATCTAGTGGTTTTAATCTAAAAATAAAACTGACAAAGACTTTCGTTGTCGAAGCAAACGAAGATTGGCTAAAATGGCATGTGAAGGATGTTTTAGAGTTGATATATATGGAAAATGTGTGCAAAGGACATATAAACGTCTTGTAAGTTTTTAAATAGTTATAGTGATATAATTTTTGTTATTGCTTTAACGTGTTAATTTGTGCGCTAGCGCAATTAGACGGTTTTCATTTATGCCAAAATCATTATTTGAAATTTTCTAGAAAAGGTTTAACAAATGAAATCCTTTGAGATGTTTTAGAAATTAGGAAAATGACTTTCAGTAATTCTATCTTGTCGTTATCTCAGGTTAATTCCATCTGTAGCTATCTGTAGCCCATCAGTAGTTCTATCTACATCACTTAGGGGTTTACTGTTCTAGATTACGGAAATCATCCTACTACTAATCCAAAAATAATGCTTTATATCAAAGTTTTTTTTTTCTCCTAGGTAAGCTGTTTTTACCACTAGTAAGGAATTTCGTCTATCGCTTAAGTGACGTATTTTTCAATTAGTTTAATTTTACTGACGAATTCGCCCCGTAATTGACGAATTCGCCCCTCATGACTTGATGATGAAAAAATCAAGTTCTACGCTAGAGTAACTTTAGAATTTATTTTTATTCAATACATTAACAAAGTCGAGACCCTAAGTAATAAAAAAAATGCTTTTAAACTAGAAAAGTTTAGTTATTTATATGCAATCTCATTTTGTTAAAGTAAAACATGACGAACTCGCCCGGCCTTACCCTATAAATATATATATATATATATATATATATATATATATATATATATATATATATATATATATATATATATATATATATATATATATATATATATATATCATATATATATATATATATATATATATATATATATATATATATATATATATATATATATATATATATATATATATATATATATATATATATGTATATATGGATATATATATATATATATATATATATATATATATATATATTTTGGAGTTATATATACATATATATATATATATATATATATATATATATATATATATATATATATATATATATATATATATATATATATATATATATATATATATATATATGTATATATATATAATATATATATATATATATATATATATATATTTATATATATATATTTTGGAGTTATATATATATATATATATATATATATATATATATATATATATATATATATATATATATATATATATATATATATATATATTTATATATATATATAACTCCAAAATCATATTTTGGAAAAAAAATTTCGACAACTGAAAAAAGTTTCCAGAGCAAGCCTATAAGAACCAGCTGTCGTTCCAGGTCTTATCCAACAAATTAACAATGAAACAGAACGGTGAAGAAGGATTCTTAAAAAAATAGTGTCGATAATTATGTACTTGGCGGACATAATATTGCATTCCGTGCAAGCTCATTAGGGCTGTACATCAAAAATAATCGCAACTTCCTGGGTTTACTTCATTTTTGAGCCAGTTTTGATGGAGAACTTTTTGTGTGTATGTGTGTAATTTATGTCGCCGTTAAAAAAAATATTTACATTGCATATACATATATTAAATTTTTTTTTTGTTTGTTCTTTCCTTGAATATTCAATATAGTTTATACAATAAGATAGTTAAGGTAAAAATTGTTATACCATAAAAGAAATATATGCAAAAAAAGAACGCGGAGACTCGCGATAGACCTTCAGGTCTTATTATCTAGAACCGCTCGTGAATATTAAGTACATTAAAATTAATGGCTAGAGCAAGAAGAAGGCACATTTTGCCTTATCGCCGAGCCCCATATATAATAAAAAATTTTACATAACTGTAACATATAAATACATAAATCAGAATTAAAACAGAAAATAACTAAGAAAATAAAGAAAGTCAAAATAGCAAATAATTAAGAAGTGCTAAAATGCCTACAACCGCTAAAATGTTTAAGAACACTTAAACAAAAACTTTTGAATAAAAAAATAATAAAAAAATTCATAATTAACATCATCACTTAAATTTCATTGATACAAATTAATCTGTTTTGAGTTTACTTTTGAGCTTACTTACTAAAGAAACATTTAAAGTCAGATGAATTAAGATCTCTGGACAGTAATAATATTTTTGATTTATGCTTGAATTGCTGTAAGGTAGTCTTGTTTCTGTTGATAATCTCTGGGAATTTTTTCCATCTATAAGGTCCGCGGTATGTTATTGAATAGTCGGTTAATTTTAAATTAAATTTGAGAACAACAAAGTTGTTATTGAAAACTTTGTTGAATACTTACGATTAATTTTATTAAAATAAGTTTGAAAGATTTTTGGGGATAATCCCATTTTTGTTTTAAACATAAACAATACAACTTGGTATAAATTGAGTTTTTACATATTTAAAGCACAGAGCGCACGTAAAAGTGGTTTGCAAGGAGTATTTCTATAGGCTTCAAACACTATTCTGCACGCATGTTTTTAGATTTTCTTAAGTTTTGTACAGCCAGTACTAGCCCACACAATATTACAGTAGGACAAATAAAAAGATTGGAATCATCAGCAAACAAATTAGGTGCAAAAGATTTTTTTTTGAGTATAAGTTGTTTATGTACTATAGAAAAAAGAGTGGTCCTTAAATAGAGACCTAAGGATCCCTGCAAGTTATGGAATTGTGTTATATTGATCATAGTAAAAAAATTGTATTTGGTTTGTTAGATGCTTGTTACTTTTATTAGATACCTTGATACTTTTGGTTAGATACCTTGTTTGAACCAAAGTAAGTTTTTATTTTTCACTCCGTAGTTTTCAAGTTTTTTTATTAGT